ACCAGGATGGTCTCGATCTCTTGACCTCGTGATCCACCCGCCTCGGCCTCCCAAAGTGCTGGGATTACAGGCTTGAGCCACCGCACCCGGCCCCAGGAATTTACCTTTTAAGACAATGGTATAACTTGTCACAACTTCATGTTAGAAAATCAGATTTAATTTTCATAGCTATTGAAGTTAGAGGCTTTATTCCTTTTTTTTTTTTTAAAGACAAAGTCTTACTCTTGCCCAGGCTGTAATGCAGTGATGCAATCACAGCTCACTGTAGCTTTGAAGTGGGCTCAAGTGATCCTTCCACCTCAGCTTCCTGAGCAGCTGGGACCACAGTTGTGTCCCACTTTGCCTAGCTAATTAAAAAAATTTTTTTTTTTGTAGAGCCAGAGTCTCCCTATGTGGTACAAGCTGGTCTTGAACTCCTGGACTCAAGCAATGCCCCTCCCACCCCAGCCTCCCAAAGTGCTGAGATTGTAGCCGTGAACCACCACCTGAAGCCAGAGGCCGTTTTCAACATGTCATTATTCTCATTTGGTCAGGATAACACTGAACGGAGGGGTAGAAAGCTCAGGTAGAGAATTTCAAAGGCATCATGGTAACAGGGAGCAACACGATCACACCCCACACTGAGGAACCACCAAGACTCAAGGGTGCATTCTCATTGTAGGAAGTCTTCTGCTAACTTGTTGAATTCATCTGCAAAACGCAAATGCAGGTTGTGTTTGCCTTCTGGCATCAAATGCAGCCTAAAAAGAAGGGGAAAAAAAGGCTTTGAATCAATGGGACACCATTTAAGAACAAACCCCTCACTGTCCCCAACATGCATGAACATCTAAAGTGAAAAATTCCCACATTTCCCCCCATGACCACTATCCAGGAGAAAATGTAACCTATCAACCTAAGAACATAAGACAAACGTGAAGCTCTTGGAGTTTATGGCTACCCTGGAGGTTGACTGTAAGGCAATGACTTAACAGTAGCAGACACACAGTATAGTTGGAATTGAATCAAGTAACATGGTTTGACTGGAAAACAGCCTGAGAATGGGGGAGGTGATTTGGTGGTTACTCTAGAAAGATCCATTTTAATGAAGTTGGTTTTAAGAAAGAAGGTTGGTAAGATGATAAAAATAAGTGTCCAGAATGCACTGTGCTGGGGCCGGTGAGTTTCTTGGGGTGTCCATGTAGTGGGCAAGTGCAAAGTAGAATTCACAGCCGCCCCCGGCCTGCTGCTCCAGGTTCCAAATCACCCTTCCATTTTTGGATTACTGAACTAATACATCTGAATACAAGCCGCCAGACAAATGGCTGTGAGGGTGGCGAGCCCACGCCAGCCGCCCTGTGCTCCAGGAGCCGTTGCTGCAGCTGTCACGGCTCAGTGTTGTGGCAAACGCACTGTCCTCGTAAGGCTTCTTCCTTTCAACAGGATTGTGATCAAATGGGACAGGTTTACAGTTTCTTGAATAAAGGCAGCCTTCTCTTTGTTCTATATTTTACTTATTAGCTACAAAAATATACCAACACTAAAAGTGTTAAAGTTTCTAGGATGAAAGTTTAAGTTCAAGCCGCTTTGCCTACAATGATAACTAGACATTAAAAGGACAATATTGGGGCAGAATGCGTTACCATGTTGCTGCCTGATTTTTTGACTTTCAGTACTGGGGGGCTGACAGCTCAGAACCTCAGTAGGTGCAAGGGAGGAACTGTGGCTGCAGGGAGCTGTCCTCGGAAGATGCTGGGCCTCTTTCTACTGAGCTACCACATTGGGGGTGGGAATGGGGTACCAAGAGAATCAACTTGAAAGGAAGATATATTGTTGGGACCTTTCCGAGGGCCTTGGAAAATTAATGCTATTACTAACAACCAGAACATTCTAAATTCAATTTTAACACTACCCAGAAAAGAAGGATGAGTTGCACCCACCCCAAAGATAGGATCCCAGTTGCCTACACAATAGGACTTGCAGGGACACTCAAGGCCTTTGTTTTCAGAAAACAGAAAAGAACCAATTGCCAAGGATGCTGAGAGGTCACAGGTTACGTCTAGGCTAAACTGCATCCCTTAATCTGCACAAACCTGGACCGAGGCAGGGAATCCTCAGCCTGCCACACGTGAGGCCCTCCTCTGTAGATAGCCCATCTGGCTATGATTTGCTGGTTTCCCATATGGAAGGAAGAAGACCCTTACTGTAAATCCTTTCTTTTTCGCCGTTCAGCACTGTTTGCATTCTTCCTAATCTCTAGATCTCAGGGAAATAAAAATTAGAGCTTCCCTTCATTAAAACACAGGAGACCTGCTCTGAATGCTGGATGGATAAATGGACAGATGGACAGACAGAAGAGTCTGAAGACAACTGTTCTTGATATCTTTGGCGGGTCATTTCATGCTCCTTAGCACCTCTTCCTCCTTCAGGTGTGACACAGGTTTCACTGCACTGAAGAATCTATTTTGTATTCCTCTTTGGGAATAGGACCACCATAGACAGGCATGAATATTAGCTGTCAAGGCAAGAGAGGAGCTCTGTAGCTGACCCAGATTCCCACCCAAGTAACAAAAGGATCTAATCACATGCTCTGTGGAGAGTGGTTTCTGAACAATAACATTCTCCAGAAAAATGAGTGGAAACCCCCCACTGCTAAGCACATGGCTTAGTTGGAAACCAGGGGGCCTCAGAGGATGAACACAAGTTCTTCTGCCAGCACAGGTTCCTCATAGCACCTGGCATGATTTAGAAAGCGATATGATTCCAGATCTTTCAAAAACTAGAAGCTGTCTCATCCCATGGTAAATTTATTGGTCACTTTACCTCTGTTGATACAGCTCTTCTAGGTCAAGACAGCATTGATGAAATGCCAGCCTCACAATGCTACCTTTCCTGCCTCACTGGGACCCTTTTCATCTTTGGCTGAACTGCACTTTCACCTGTAACTCAGGGAGTTAACAGAGAGTAACAAGGCCACAAGTAATGTGTTGTGTCATGTCTTCACCTTGGACCAATGTGACAAAACTTGATCTAATAACTCATAAAGTTGTCAGTAAGTCTGTAGTCCGCAGAGTGCTAGGATGTACTTTTAACTGGAACCCAGGGTAGGCTGCTGGTTCTTTGCACAGGATCTCTTCCAGTGGGAAACTGGGCAGCAACATGGTGCATCACTTGTCCAGGCATTCCTGATGACGCCATCTAAACCTGGTTGCCAATAGCCCCTTTTTATTCAGAAACTAAATCTTTTTTCATTCTGCTTCTTCTAGAAAGCCCCATCTAAGAAAAAGGTACCAGGTCAGGTGCAGTGGCTCATACCTATAATCCTAGCACTTAGGAAGCTGGAGGCAGGCAGATTACTTGAGGCCAGGGGTTTGAGACCACCCTGGTCAACACGGTGAAACTCCATCTCTACTAAAAATACAGAAATTAGCCGGGTGTGGTGGTGCATGCCGGTAATTCCAACTACTGAGGAGGCTGAGGCAGGAGAATCACTTGAATCCGGTAGGCAGAAGTTGCAGTGAGCTGAGATCCCGCCACTGCACTTCAGCCTGGGCGATAAAGCAAGGCTCTGTCTCAAAACAAACAAAAAGGTAATGATGGGCAAACCACAAGCTCCTTGCTGCTGATGAAGCTGAGGGCTGCCCTGGCTGGACAGGCTCTCCTCTGGTTAGGGCCGACCAGGCATTTGGGGATGGTGGTGGCAGCATCTCACTGAAAGGCTCCTTTTCTTGAATGCAACCATGTCTCAAGCATTAGGCACAAGCAATAGATGTAAAACTGCCCTGGAGGCTGCTTTCTGGGCAGTGTGGTAGCTTGAGGTGGGGTGCTGGTGGGCCCTCAGGCTGCTGGGCTGGTGCTTTTAAGTGGTGTGTGGAGGACAGTCTTTCCAAACCTGCTGGGACTGTGGGGACCTAGATGGGCCCTGAACTGCAGGAAAGCTTTCTTCCTGTGACAGTTGGATTCAACTGAGGTGCCATCATGGGATGAAAAAGCCATGCCTGGCTTTATGGGGCCAGGACATGTCTTGTCTAACCAGTACAGAGTCCATATTGACAGGCTACATCCATCTCCCTGAGTCACAATTCCTCACCTGGAGAATGGGGACAGTAATGGAATCCACCTCATAGAATCAATCATTCTTTTTTCTTTTTTTTTTTTTTTGAGACGGAGTTTCACTCATGTTACTCAGGCTGGAGTGCAAATGGCGCGATCTCGGCTCACCGCAACCTCCACCTCCTGGGTTCAGGCAATTCTCCTGCCTCAGCCTCCCGAGTGGCCAGGACTACAGGCACATGCCACCATGCCCAACTAATTTTTTTTTTGCATTTTTAGTAGAGACGAGGTTTCACCATGTTGACCAGGATGGTCTCGATCTCTTGACCTTGTGATCCACCCGCCTCGGCCTCCCAAAGTGCTGGGATTACAGGCGTGAGCCACCGCGCCCGGCTAGAATCAATCATTCTGAGGATGCAATGAGATAGTAGATTCAACATATGCAGCATGGGTCTGTGGGCACGTGGTAAGCTTAATAAATGTCTGCGGTTATTTTATTTGTATATTTGTATTGCACTTCACAATGTGCAGAATTCCTGAAGGTGTTAATCTGTACAGCATATTAATGACTGACTCAGGGGAGCACAGTGAGTCTACATTTGTTGGCTAACACAACACCTCCAACTGGAGGCTTCTCTTAAGACAGGTTTTTTTTTTTTTTGAGACGGAGTTTCACTCATGTTACCCAGGCTGGAGTGCAATGGCGTGATCTCGGCTCACCGCAACCTCCGCCTCCTGGGTTCAGGCAATTCTCCTGCCTCAGCCTCCTGAGTAGCTGGGATTACAGGCACGCGCCACCATGCCCAGCTAATGTTTTGTATTTTTAGTAGAGACGGGGTTTCGCCATGTTGACCAGGATGGTCTCGATCTCTTGACCTCGTGATCCACCCGCCTCGGCCTCCCAAAGTGCTGGGATTACAGGCTTGAGCCACCGCGCCCGGCCTTAAGACAGGTTTTAACGAAATGTTGCAGGTAAGATTTGTCTGGAAAGGTTCAGACCCCACTGTGTTTGAAATATTAGCACAGGCCGGGCGCGGTGGCTCACGCCTGTAATCCCAGCACTTTGGGAGGCCGAGGTGGGTGGATCACGAGGTCAAGAGATCGAGACCATCCTTGTCAACATGGTGAAACCCCATCTCTACTAAAAATACAAAAATTCAGCTGGGCATGGTGGCGTGTGCCTGTAATCCCAGCTACTCAGGAGACTGAGGCAGAATTGCCTGAACCCGGGAGGCGGAGGTTGCGGTGAGCCGAGATCGCGCCATTGCACTCCAGCCTGGGTAACAAGAGCGAAACTCCGTCTCAAGAAAAAAAAAAAAGAAGAAAAAAAAAAGAAAAAGAAAAAAAAAATATTAGCACAAAGGACTCAACTTGGTAAGCACTGGCTAATTCTGTGTGCAATAAATCCTGCAATGAGCCCACAAGCAATGTCTGGAACTGACAGTTTTCCCTTCCACCTGAGCAGCGGTTGGGAGGAGCTGAAAGCAGCACCTGGGCAGAGGAGGGCTGGGATGCCAGTGATCGGGAACTGTCACCTGGGGCAGGAGCAGAGGAGAGGGCAAACCACTGCCTCCAGGTGGGACACAGTCCACAGTGGAGGCAGCAGCCCTGCCTGCCTGCAGCATCTGCCTCTCCACCAGAAGCTGGCTTCACTTTCCTATGGAGCTGAAAATGAACCACTGTCACTGGTGTGAATCTTTTCACCTAAGCC